TTTGGAAACCGGTAGTTTGGTCAAGATTCGCAGTGAGCGTTATTCTTCATTGGTTACCGCAGAAATATTTACCTATCTTCAGTACTCATGCATGGATTGTCGAGTGAATCTCATTCCAGTATACTATGGAATTGCATGCGTAATTTTAAACTGCTGGAAATGACTGTTATGTGTTAATAAATAAATAAGAACTGACGTTGAGGCTAGTAGGGTTTTGTTAATAGAAGGATTTCAATAATCGGTCTCTGGTCTGGTGGAATAAGGCCATTGATAGTTTAAGGTGAAAGTATTATACAGCTTATTATCGTTGGACTGCATTGCATAGGTACGGTTTTAGCGTAAAATTAGGCCGTCTATTTAGGATCAATAGATTGATTATAATCCTGACCCTGACACCTTGCACCCCTGACCCTGTGACCCCCCGCTCCTGACCCAATGAGGTTTCACATATGTTCATATGATGTCGGTAGTGATACTGATGAAGATATTAATGGTGACAGCGATGGTGCTGGGCCGCTGGCATCAAGGGTGCACAGGTCACTGCATCGTAGGGAAGGAAAGCCGCCACGCGAGCTAAGGAACGTCGTCTTGTTGACGTTTTCTGTTGAAGTCGAAGGTTGAATTGAGTGACAGCTATTAACTTTACATTACCCGGCATAAATAATCAGTTGTGAAAGATTTGCAACCATCACCGTACTGATCGATTGGTACGCCGTTGTGCAAGACAAGTCCAGCAACCTCACGACTTATACGTTACCTGACGATAAGATTTAACTTTCATGGCTTTCAGCCACAAATTTTAATAGTTAATATTGCATTTTGAGATATCAATCCATGCCACAACATATTATGCGATTACAAATGTCCAGGACTACTGATAACAAGAGCAATTCAACGGCTAACTAATGCAGAATCAGGTCAATGGAGCATCCAACAAGTTGCAACGCTGTACTTGGCGCATACATCATCAGCAGTCTTGTCCGGTTCTCAAGGCGTGTTAGAAGAATGTTTGTCATAAAAAGAGTTCCTTAAATCGTCGTAGTAGATATGCAAAAAGTCAATTGATAGAATAATATTTGGACTTGTGCTGACTCTAACACTCATTGCTCTGTCGTTTATTTTCAAGTTCAGCACATGATGCAAATTTCATACAGATACGCGGTGTTGAGTTTAAATTCTCTTGCATCAAGTCACTCATGCTCTCCGGTCTGTTTTCCGTTAATATTGTCACTCGCATATGTTATCTGGTAGTTTCTTTTTATTTGTCTCCAATCGAAAAAGCTTATATATGAAGTTCCAGTTTAATACCAATAAAATATGAATTATTTGTACATTTTAATTCATTAGAGAGCTAATTATAAGATATATGAATCAGTTCCTATTCGACAGGGGAAAAAAGCAATGCTTATCAAGCTCTCGCCGACACATGCAGCGCTGTCGTCTGCTAACGCGGCATGTCAAATTTACCGCACTTATGAGGCGCTGTTGCCGGACGCTCGTAATTTGCAGTTTGCATGGCCGGGGATATCGGGATATCCTAGAAGTTTGTTTATTTATGTATAGCAGCTTGTATTTTTGTTGAAGAATATGGCCCTCCCATAAACCCTTGTTCTAAATGTGAGTTCCGTTTTTTTCAAAAATATCGAAATGGATCAATATTTTTTAATATTAGTATTCATTTTTAAAATGAATGCGGTGAAGTCCAATATAATATAAAATAGGCAGAAATAGATAATAGTACAAACAGTCAGTATTACTTTAAATATGATCATAAATCTTAGTCTTAGGGGGTTAGCCTTCCCTGTCCTTAGAACCTAGTGACGCCCTGATTTTAACCACGCGGCTAAACGAAGCACCCGCTATGTTGTTCAATGATAGTCAATGATCAACATACAAATATGTATTATGAGCAGAATTAGCTTAAAGTACCAGCACAATAGTGCCGCATGTACAATTTACGCAATTGTATTGCAAACAGATTGATCACTAGTCAAAGTCGCGGATACGTTACCCACTCAGACTACCCGATTATACCCACTCGAGAATAATCGGACCCATTTAGATGTCCGGATATTAAGTAGAATTGATAGAAACCTCGTCACGATTAGGTTAGGGTTAGAATCATGGTTTGTTTAAGAAGGTTTAAGCGCTTGGGGTTGGGTGAAAAAAGCCAAGTTCTTTTCTTTTTGGAGAAACTTTATCTAACTCTCGTTGGCGTACCTGAACGAGATACGAACGTACCTTAATCATGATTCCCAGTGAGCGTTATTCTTCTTCTGTTACCTTCTTTCAGTACTCATGGATGGATAATTAAGTGAATATCAACTAAAGTATTATGGTATGTAAAAAGTAGTATAATGTTATAGGATATTGGAAGATGTAAGTTGGAGCTAAGGAGATAGTAGTGAGAAGGTGAAATTTCGGAGTTCGGTTTGCGGGTTGGCGGAGTAAAGGCCCGTTTACACTAGTGGCAACGACATGCGCTTTGAGTCGTTTGCTACAGTGCCTCACCGCGCACAACCGTTCACACTACTTTTGTACTCGGTAGTTTGCGACCGCGCGCTTTGGACACTAGTTGCCACCTAGACGTCAATGAGGATGGATGTAACCGAATTTGAGCTGTGGGCCATTGTTCTCGGGTGTGCTGCGGTCCGTCATTCTTCGCACTATGCCAGTTGTAAACGAGAATTTAGCATAGGCATCATAATTAGAGAACTAGCACATTCAAATCCAAAAGATACAGTTTATAAAAAACATAGTCTATTCTTAAATAAAAAGTTCCCATATTCGTCCCGATATTATATCATCCTTTGAAATCGCTAAACGGTAATGCATAAATTGTCAGGAGTTGCTAAAATCACATAAACTAAGCACGTCATGTAAAAATAACTTACATCATTTGCATTTCGATTTTTGTACTCCTTTGACCGATCACTCCATAGGCATTCGTGTTCTCTATAAAGATCAATTAGGCGCTGTCGACATTTGGTGTGCCGGACCAGCGTACACAATAAACCTTACTACTACTAGACCACAGACAGCTATGTACTAACTAAGAATTTAAAAGCAAAGAATAGTCCACAAAAATTCATATCGTTATAGAAAACGTTTCGGAGACCAGCTCCATCGTCAGTTCGTTGAATCTAGAATCACAAATCAGAAGTGACAAATTAATACACTGAAAGCACAGAACGAATTTAATTTCTTTAATTAATTAATTTAAATTTTTAATTTTATTTAAATTCTTAGTTAATTTGCGATTTAAGCATACAAGTGATATCAATTCTTTAATAGCTATCTACTAAGCGCCGCGCTTGTGTTTCATGAGGCATGGCCCCTGTCAATCGCTAGCTCGTCAATCGGTCAAGAAGCGCATGCAGAGGCTGCAAAGCGCCTCTGCATGCGCTTTGAGGCACTTGATTCTCGTGTGTTGCCCCTAGTGTGAACGGGCCTTTAGATGTTTGGCCTTGAGAGCAGGTTACATTCATTATATCATAACTTCGGTGGACTGCAACGCTTAGGTATGATTGCAGCGTATTCTGCCGTCTAATGAGGATTAATATGTCGATTTTATTCCTGACCCTGTGACCTTGCACCCCTGACCCTGTGACCCCCCGCTCCTGACCCAATGAAGTTTCACATATGTTCATATGATGTCGGTAGTGATGCTGATGAAGATAATGGTGACAGCGATGGTGCTGGCATCAAGGGTGCATAGGCTACTGCATCGTTTGGAAGGAGAGCCGCCACGCGAGCTAAGGAACGACGTCTTGATGACGTTTTCTGTTGAAGTCGAAGGTTGAATTGAGAGACACCTATTAACTTTACTTCACACGGCATAAATAATCAGTTACGCTAGATGTGCTACTATAAAGGTACTCATCGATAAGTACACTATTGTGCGGAACCTCTCTAGAGACGTAATCTACAGCACAATTACCAGAGGATAAGATATACTACTCGTGGCTTTTCAGCCTCAAAAATAAGTTCAAGAATGCAAGGAACCAATCGAACGAAATTTAGTATCTGCGTTGACACCGGTCCGAGAATACTGATTAGAAGAAGTAAGAGAGTAAGTTCATGGCTAACTAATGCAGAATCAGGTTTATGAATCATCAAGGAAGTTGCTACGATGTACTTCGCGCATACTTCGTCAGCAACCTTGTTTGATTCTTAAGGCGTGTAAAAGAATGTTGATCATTCAAGAGAGTTCCAGAAATCGTCTTTGAAGATATGGCAAAAAATCAATTGATAGAATAATATTAGGATACGGGTAAGTCCCTATCGCATTTCTCCCTCAAAACCAATTTTCATCAATCATTGAAATAATAGATTTGCTCAAAACACGTTGCTGACGTAGCATCAAGCATTTTACAACATCAAACTTATGAAATGTAGCAGAGTGGCCTATTTGGTACAGTTAGGACTACCAGGAATGGAGCAGCGAGGTGCGGGTTTGATCCCAGCTCCCTGCGACAGTTTCTGGTCAGAATCAGCGACGAGGCCGGGCGGATAAGCACAGCAGAATTTGAGCAGTGGATTGTGTGATCAACAAGCGGTTAATAATCTGCTTTTTTGAGACTCAGTGACAGGCCTACGGCCCAATAAACGCTGAAACAGCTATTATTAGTATTATTATTACTACTAAGATACACTTCACCAGCTACATCCATCAATTAGTCTTCATTGTCTCTGCTTGTGTTAGATTGTTATTAAGGTCATGTAGACAAATGTTGGTCTGAGGAGACCGCTACCAGTCACAAACATGTTCATTAAAAAATGCTGCAAAAATTCAATTGAAATGAGAATATCAAGATTTATTGTATATGAGAGACTGTAATATATTTTAAATTTCAGTACCTAATAGAAATGTTATAGACATTTTAAAGTTGAAATTACATTCCTAGTCAAGTCCCTCGAGCTGAAATGCGCTGCGATATTACGGCCACAGCGCCTACGGCCGAGGCGAATCCCGTCAGGCGAATGGCCGCCATTGATGGATGCACCTGCCAGAGGCAGTGCACCTGCCAGAGGCAGTGCACCTGCCAGAGGCAGTGCACCTGCCAGAGGCTGTGCACCTGCCAGAGGCTGTGCACCTGCCAGAGGCAGTGCACCTGCCAGAGGCAGTGCACCTGCCAGAGGCTGTGCACCTGCCAGAGGCTGTGCACCTGCCAGAGGCTGTGCACCTGCCAGAGGCTGTGCACCTGCCAGAGGCAGTGCAGCTGCCAGCAGACTGCAGCTGCTGCAGTGCTGCACAGCTGCTCAGTATACGCAGGGACTTCGTAGCCATGCTGCTGCACAAGGTGGGAGTTGATCAGACTAACTTAATTTCTAGGTAGTGGTTGAACTTTGATTGATATACGTATATATGTACGGTTGTGAGGATTGGTATTTATATTTATTACCTTCAACGGTATCATTTAAAGCCTATGGTAGTTTTATCAATTGCCTGAATGAACTTTGATCTCAACAAGTACTTTTCGGGATCACTCCGATAACGTAACTCTTCTCGGTAGAGTTTTTAGTTAAACTACCGGTAGTCTACTGTCAGGTTTAGCACGAGGGTGTCGGACAAAAAAGTTCTCACACTGGCAGCCATGACTTGACAAGGAGAATTGACACAAATGATTATCGCAACTCTCATATACTTGATAAAGAAAATCATACCCAAATACAGAGCTGGGCACGGTGATAATGACGAGCACACAGGCCTACTTGCAGACAGCCCAACACAGACCTAGCAATAATTAGCACACGGTAATAAACAGTTGGTACTGACACCGGCCTAATAGTAATATAACTCCCGAGCATTAGCACGATCTCCCCTTAAATTCCTAGCGTGTACATCACCGGATATGTGACGGAGGCGGACGTTGGAAGACTTCTCTGGGGCCTATACTTTCAAAAAAAAAATTAAGAGATCGTAAGTTCATCAGCCAATCATTGACGGCCTTTCAAGCAAAATGCACCAATCATAGCCGAGAAAATAGAGCGTAAGTACTTACGTTCACTTAGCGAGTTATGAAAGTATGGCCCCTGGACTTGTTCAGTCATATTCCGGGCAGTAATTGGACTCGGCGTTGGTTTCTTCTCAGCGGTATTTTCTAACGCTGTGGTTGGTGTTATCTGAAGGGACGTCGTGACTAGGGAGTTTAATTCTCGATGCGTGATGGGGCGTTCGTTTGAAGACTTCTCCGTGACTCCGTAGATGCTGGCCTCAAGCATAAACTAACCAAGCGGATTTACTCCTTTCCTCGGTGATACCAACACGTCGTTCAATCTTCCTCTTGTAGCTAATTCTCCGAAGGAGTACCAATTCTGATGTCATACTCAATGAGACAATACTTCACCGGAATACTGTCCTTTACACTTCACTCTATCGATCACACTGGAGAGTCTCCAACACAAAGACTTCCTCCCCGCACGCTGGTTGACTCTAACTGCGCTCCCTCTGCTTCTACCTCGCCCCTTATATAGCCCAGTTCACTACCCGCGCGAGGCGTCACTTAATCTTTCCCTGACGACCCAAGTTTTTCCCCTAAGTCCGAGTTGCCTATTCTTGTGTACAAATCCTATTCCTAATCAGCCCTATTCATGTGTACCAATCCTATTCCTAATCAGAGTCACCCCTCACCCCTCCCCTCCCTTCTCACCCCTCCCTTGTCACCCCTCCCTTGTCACCCCTCCCCTCACACTCCCCATTATACATACAAGTTTTGTTCACTTGTTCAAACTCCGTGCAAAAGCAAATGACGTCGTAACAACGTTGATTATGAGTTAATTTCGTCTAAACAACGTTATTTCAACGTTACTTGGTGGGAACCATCTCTGCGTTGCTCAGTCTGCATTTTCGCATGGTGCGTTCCAAGGCCCATGCATTTATTAACATCCATCATCGACAGCTTGGAGACGGATGACGACGAAGGCGGTGCATCAGCGTGACCTAGGACCACGACGTACTAAACTTATTCATCGGTTATTGACTGATCGCTTGAATGTTTTATCGCAGGCACAGCAGGAGGAGCTGTATGCACAGCAGTACTGCACACTGGTGCTGTGCGTTAGCTGTGCTGTGGACGTGTACAGCGATGATGTGCGTACAGCACTCGCCCCCCTGAGTTGTGCACTGCAGCGCCTGCAGCAGAGCACAGCAGCGCTGCACGCTGTGCACACTGACCGTGCACAGCATCTCTGCACGCAGGTCTGTGCAGACAAAGTAATTTAGTTCATTAATTAATATTTAATACAATAATGCCAACAATTGCGGTACAATTAATGTAACAATTTCTGTACAATTGATGTAACATTGTTCATAGAAGTGCTACTGAGCTCCTGGTCGTTGGTCAACGTTTCGGCAGCTTACGACAATGCAATCAAATTCTCACTACTTGCAGGCTATAAATAAGGCAAATACGATCAAAATTGAATAAAATAAGCGATATTACTTCATATCCACACTCGCCGCAATGGCGTGCCCCATTCCCATGCAGAAGCTATACATGAAAGCTTCAGTTAACAATGACATATGTTTAGTAAATATCGCGAACGTTTCAAGATAATTATTGGTAATTATATTGCACAGATGGCACAGCTGGCGCAGGACGTGGAGGCGCAGCTGGCTAAGGCTGAGAGGCATCTCCTGCTGGGGACGTCGCTGAGGCCACTGCTGGAGGCCGAAGCCCTGGCCAGGTTCTGGGAACTGCTTGGTCGACTCAGAGTTCTGCGTGGGGGAGACGTGGGCCCCGGCCGAGACGCTGGTCCCGATGGGGACATGGAGGACGTGGTGGTCCGACGCCATCTTAAGTCTCATTTCAGGTGGACTGCGAGTTAAGGCGTGTGCGCCTGTTTATTTTTGTTTACCAGCGTGTGTTTCTGGACGACCTGTGACTGAGCGCAAGCGAATAGCATGCAGTGCAGCGGCACAAACATTGTGGTTCTGAGACTCGAGTTTATTGGAGTTACAAACGAGCATCGGTTTCTTGGACGGGACATGCAGTATGTAAACAGACGATACTTATTCTCCGCTTCACAGTAGTTATGAGTATCAGTGCCACGTTTGGTGAATACACCGTCGACTGCTGCGAGAGATAAAAATTATTTCTTCAAAAAATATGATGGTTGTCACTAAAATATTCCTTTCTGTTTCAGGTATGCTTTTTAATGATATTTTTTTCTGTAATAGTGAATTCACTTGACCCAATTAAAATGGTATGAGATTACAAGCCGTCCTGTAAGCTTACAGATACAAAAGAAATGCTACATGGCTGCTGATATGAAGCTTGCAGTGGACAAGGTTATTGTAAATGCTCAATGGCATGTTTGTTGATATGGTAATATTATATCAATAAAGGAAAAACAAGTAATAATCACAGAAAATGTCATTTATTCTACAGCTACAGCATCTACAAAGGAAGAAGAGGACTTCAGAGTACTGTTAGTAATGGATGAGTACACTCTGCATGCTACAATTGTTTTAAAAATTATATTTTATTTCAAGTGTCCTGGATTATTCCTTTTGATATTACCCCAGGGATAATTTGATATGCTATTATTTTATGTTTGCTGTCTTACCAATGACATATGAAATTTTTTGGCCATGCCATACAATGACAATTGCCAAAACCTTTAAAATGAGCCTAAACTTGTTTATGAAATGTTCCATGGTAAGAAGTTATTGATGAAAAACACTCAAAACCATCCCTTATTACCCCGTTTGATGGTAATATTTCACAGTTCATAGATAGATGGTTACATATGCCAAGTAAAGAGGTAAATTTGCCTGTTGATGACAGCAGGAGCCAAATTGTTATGCTAAGCATCAGTTGAATTCTTGCTAAACAATAAACAAAAATTATTTTTCAGTAAATGGGGGTTCATTTTCAGCTAAACTTCAGTCTCTTTGTCTCAACTGTTAATTTTTCAATTGAAAAAGTCCTAGGTTGATTGATGTCAATTACAGAAATGATAAATTTCTGAAGTTCATCCTGTGAGACATAATTTTTAATGTTCCACCCTGCCTCACAATGCTGACTAAAACAGGAACACTTTCTTGGCTGCACTTGGATTCCCTGGAATGGTACTGGTAGTTCACATTTAATATTGATGAAACTGGTCCTAAAATTGAAAAACTGCTGCTTCTGACAAACACTGTGGCTCTAAAATAACATAAAAAGATGCTTAACATATTTCTAATAAAACTGAATGTGTGATGGCCTGGCTTCAAAGTCATGTGTTTTGGTTTGATAGGAAGTCTCATAATTGGCAAACTTTAGTAAAATTAAATAGTACCGTCAACCGGGGCTACTCGGGACAGGCCTCCGACACGGCGTAAAACTGTTGTAGTAGCGAAACTAATTGGAATATTGCAAAACTTAAAATAGAGGCGTAAACGTCAACATTTTTCCTATCTATGTAGTATAAAGGAAGTCGAAAAATACCGTAAAATGGGGTAACTTAGACCGGCGGGGTAACTTAAACCACTTTTTGTTTTTTTAACAAAAACCCCCACAACTCAAAAACTATTTGACATAGAAAAATTTTGTCAATGGGCATTAAAGGCCTAATACCTGTCTCTTATACACATCTAGATGTGTATAAGAGACAGTAACAAGTCTTTGCTGAAACTATTCTATTTTTATATTTTCCCTATTCTATTTCTGTCTCTTATACACATCTAGATGTGTATAAGAGACTACCTCTACATCATCTACAATGAAAGAGGAGGACTTCAGAGTACTGTTAGTAATGGATGAGTACGCTCTGCATGCTTCAAATGTTTTGAAATGAAGTTTTATTCCCATTGTCCCAAGTAGCCCCGACTGACGGGGCTACTCAGGACAATCTTTATTTTGCGTCTGGCACCTTACGAATAGCATACAGAATTTTGTTGACAATGCCATTCGATAGCCCTCGCAAAGAGCTATAAAATGAGCCTAAATTTGTTTATGAAATGTTTCATCGTAAGAAGTTATTAACAGTTATTACCAAAAAAACGATCAAATCTGTCCCGAGTAGCCCCGGTTGACGGTAAATGTCTGTAAAATTAGAAACAGCTGTTCAATGCAGGCTCCTACAAAATAATGTATCAAGAAACCTTTTTGCAATATTGTAAGAATGTCTGACAGCTGGCATATACTCAATTAACATGTAAAAGGGACAAAAAATTAAAGAACATTGTCATATTTCTGTGTTTAATTGCCTTTAAAAAAATGACAAATATTTATACTTTTATAGAAGAAAAAAAATTTGCTATGCAGCCATAGCTTGGCAACTGACTTAGCAGCTCAAAAATTATTTATATGGCTTAGAAATTGATTGATGGCTCTCTCTTTATGCCTATTCATGGTTTAACCTTTTGTGATTGACAGGACTTATCGGTCCCAAAAACACCAGGTACAAATAACATTGATGCCGTAAATGTATCCAAAATGAAAGGATTAAGGACATCAATGTTTGCTTGCTAAATGCATACTGTCTCACATAACTGCCACTGTAATCTGTTGTTGTTGTCCATGAAGTTACAAAAACTTCCACCATTTTTAATTTTTTTTTACAAATCTGCCAGGACAAAGCCACATAATTCAGATACAAACCAAATTTTTTTATGTTGAAGCTACAATATTTCATCAAAATTTCATCAAAAGACCTTTTGAGTTGCAGGCTTTGCAATAAAATGTAGCAATTTTCAAACCTTGCCATTAGATCATGCTGCTGAGAATGGTACTTACCTAGGTATGTCTTTGGAAAGTAACATTTTATTGTGTTTATGGATTTACATTGAAGGAGGAAAATATATTCTATTCATGACTAATGTTTTTCAGGCTGGAATTTCTAAAGCTGATTATCTAGATCACAATAAAATTTTTCTTGCATTGTAAATTATGTTCCTTTCCTGACAAGATCTTATTGATATGGTATTTCTGGGCACCAGAAGTTTCTGCTATGTGTAATTGCTTGAATTTATATCCCTGTTTGTGATTAGTGGCTTAATGGTAAACAGTACCCTTAAATGTTATAGGTATTCTTATTGCTTCAGCTGATGTCCAGTGAAAGATTAAGTAAACATTTCTGTTGTATGGAAGTTATAATGGGCAGGGTGGCCCAGTGGTTAAAGCTCAGAGTACCAAGATTGATGCACTAGAGAGGCGCGGGTTTGATCCCAGCTCTGTGCGCCAGTTTCTGGTCAGAATCGGCAAGGAGGCCGGGCGGTTAAGCACAGCAGAATNACAGAGGATTATTTCCATAAAAACTCAGATAAAAGTAGAAAACCTCCTGAATGAAATTATCCATTTCAATTGCTACTTTGCATTTTGCAAGCCAATCTGAATCTGGAATCGTGAAATAATGGGCAGAATTGTGTAAAACTGATAGTTCAAATTTTTCCCACTGGTCACCGACTGGGGTCTGGTGAGTGGTGATTAGGTATTTAGGTATCAACTATCAAGAATTGCTCACAAAATTTACAGTTTTATTTGGTTTTTACCATAGAAAATAGTATAAAGAAGTAAAAGAAGCAGGGTCTATGACTGGGATTAGGAGTTTTGGATGTTACTGGGTCCAATTTTCCAGAAGGGCATAACTGCATAAGGCTAAGCAAGGTCATTTCTGCATTGCATTATTGATATTTGATAGTGGGCCTTGGGCCAGTCCACGGTCAGGAAGATGTGATAGGTGCTGTCCCCGTGCTGAGGTGCGGGAATTTTTATTATCATTGCATCAATTTGCGCCGTGCGCCGTAATATGCCGGTAAAAAAGTGCACCGTGTGCCAGCCTGCGCCGTGCTCCTAAAGTTGTTTAAAGAAGAATGCGTGGCAATGCTATCACACACAAACAAATAGGCTATCTGCATCACGTTGACTAGATTTCTAACGGTTCTAAGAGTCGGCACTCGGCAATGTTATGAATAATTATTCATAGATCACAACATAATGACAAACCAGAGATTTTTTAGAATCAGTTCATTTTTAATTTCCTCATTTACTCAAGATTTAAACCAATTTATTAAGTATGATAATGCTGGTATCCATGATACTTTACTGATCTACTTATAGGACTCAAAAATAAACTTGAGACAGAGTCTAAAAAACTCTCTGCTTTGCCACTATGGATCACAATTCGGTTGGAAATTAATTACAAAACTGAATAGTAGAAGGCGACCATAGTGGCAAAGCAGAGAGTTTTTTAGACTCTCCCCCAAGTTCATTTTTGAGTCCTATAAGTAGACCAGTAAAGTATCCTGGATACCAGCATTA